AATTTGAGTGAAAATTTGATTAAAAGCTTGATCTGATACGAATACTCCAATCGTTGCTCTCATGGTCTTCTTCAAATCTTTTCAAAAAAATTCCAAACTTATCCTAAAAACCATCTCCTATCCATACCATTTTTTATGAAAGAAAACCATCTCCTATCCATACTCTATTTTAAAATTTTATCAAAAAAGATTAAAAGTATTATTATTGGAGATTTGGTGAAATTTTTTGTTCATCCTTGATTTAGTGAAAATTTTGGATCTATTACGTTTTTCTTGTGTATAATAGCCAAATAATTTTGAGACCAACCTTATGTGTAAGGACCAAATTTGTGCTTAATAGTTCAAATAATTGACAGTAATTCTTTGATGAAAAAATAATTTCTGCTTAATGTTTTTTTTATTAAAAAAATTGGCAATAATTCTGATTAAAAATTGACAGAAATTTGGTGATGAGAGACATTTCCTCAATGTTTAATAGTTCTGAGAGAAATTTGGTTCACAATAATTTTGGTTAATGTTTAATCAAAATTGATAGAAATTTGGTTCACATAATGTTTTTTAAAATTCTTTGATGAAATTTAGTTCAAATAATTTCTGGTTCATAGTTCAAATAATTGGCAATAATTGACAGACCAACTATTATACACAGTTGACAGTAAACACAATGTGTATAACCTTTTTTTTTTTTAACAGCAAACCAATTTCTGTTTAATGTTTTTTTTTGATTAAAAAAATTGACAATAATTCTGATTAAAAATTGACAGAAATTTGGTGATTAGAGACACATTTCCTCAATGTTTAATAGTTATGAGAGAAATTTGGTTCACAATAATTCTGCTCAATGTTTAATCAAAATTGACAGAAGGCACGATGTAAATAATTTTAAGATTAAAAATATATTAAATTTTTTTTTTCTTAAATAACTTGTAACATTTTTGCTTGCATTACATGCTCTACAAAACTCAAATAAATAACAACTCTCCCTAATGTTAACGCAAATTAAGAAATAAACATATAAGATTTTTAATGTTTACCAATACTGCAAATCAAAATATAAGAGCAAGTAAAAAAAAAATTGTAAACCCTAACAGAAACTAAAGTTATTGTATACTAAATCTATAATAAAAAGAAAAAAAATACACCTAATATTTTCTTAGTTGATGATTAAGTAAACAAAAAAACCAAATTTTTTAAAATTGAATTTATGCACAATTTGTATATACAGAATCTTTTATATAATGCACCTAATATTAAAAAATCCAAGGCACTTAGATTCACAAATTCACATGATTTGTCAAGATCATCTATTTTTTTAAGAGCACTGAATTTCATTTTAAATAACAAACATAGAAAAATCAAAGCACTCAGTAAAATATATCATCAAGTTTCTTTTGAATATGATATCTCAAACCAATAATTTTGAGTCATAAAAAAAATCATCTCTAAAGCCAGAAGGAGGCTTGGATTCTCCACAACACCTTTTTTTTCTTTTTTTTTCTTTTTGGAGTGTTGAACACATTCAAGAGGCTGAACTAAACCAAGCAAAAGGTCAAACCACTGAAGTATGCTCTCTCGTGCTGCACCACTTTATTAATTTCCTACGTAATTTTATATACAATTTTTTAAATTTTTTTGTGTAATAAATATAGATATATGAGTGGTATGGTTGTCACAAAAGTTTCATTCAATTTTATTATTGTGGGATCTCTAGTGTCCAACATTGTAGTGGTGATTTAAAGGGGTAGGCAACTTTTGTACTTATTTAGGATATCAAGTTAAAAAGAATCCCATGTAGTGTATGTGTATATATAAGTATTTTGTTTTAGAAAATAAAATAGCAAATTGTATGATTGAATTCAAAATATAAAACTTAAAATAAATTTTAAAAAATCAAAAGTTAATATATTTTCCAAAAAAAGAAATAATAATAATAAATTTAGGGCATAATTACCCATATAACTAATTTAAAAAATGTCTTCAAATATCAAGTAGTTCAATAATTAGAAAAATGTCTTCAAAAATGTCTTCAATAACATCAAGTAGTTCAATAACATGTCTTCAAATATGTGTCAATAACCTTTTTTGAAACCAATTTTCGAGTGTATAACACCAAACTAATTTAAAAAATCCATTGAGCAGAATTTTTGGCTGAACCAAAATTTATGATTTTGGTGATAAACAGTTGACAGTAAACACATTGAGCAGAATTTGGTGATTTTGGTAATCCTTTGCAACTACTCTTTGGTGATAAGAAATTCTGCTTTGAAAACACATTGAGCAGAATTCTTTGAAAACAAAATTCTTTGAAAACAGTGGACAATTAAAATTCTTTGAAAACAGTGGACAATTAAAATTCTTCTCAGTAAACACATTGAGCAGAATTCTTTGAAAACACAGTTGGCTCAATATCAAAGCAAAACAATAACAGAAGCTGTAGCGAAACGTTACCAAAGCAATAAACTAACCGAGCAGCCAAGCTTTTTATTTTTTATGGCTCCAAGTTCCTGATTAACTAACTGAGCAGCCGTGCAAAGTTCCTGTTTCAAGTTCAAGTTCCTGATTTCAATTAAAAAATAAGTGATATTGTTGGGTGCAAGGAGATACATGGAGCCATGTGAAACTAAGTGAATGGCATTAAATAAAATAAATGAACCTTCATACTTAAAATAACATACATTTTTACCCATTAAAAATATATTATAAGAATTTAATATATTTCTACCATAAATATATTTTACTGAGTAGTCATTAAGTATAAATATTTTACTGAGTAGTCATTGGGTGCAAGGGGAACTTCACTCTGGGTGATATATGCTGGTAGTCATTAAGTATAAATATTTTACATTGATGATATATGCTGGTAATGTGAATATTTTACATTGATGACAAGAAAATATATGTGAATATTTTTTTAATCATCAACTAAGAAAATATATGCTGGTATAAATATTTTCTTAATCATATTTTCTTAAAATGCTATTCTTAATCATTAAAATACTATATGCCAAATATGTTTTTCAACTCACATTTTTCCAGATGTCATTGTGCAAGTCGTACATATCGAGCATCAAACCTCTAACACCATTCTGCGAGGGGACCATTTTCAAAATAGAAAGTCATTTGAAGTGTTTGTAAACTAAAGCATCAGATTAACCAATCTACTATAAATTGTATCGTATTAAGAGCAGGTCAATCTGTTCACAGTTGCAGTAAACATCATCATTAAAATGAAAAGGAAATAATTGAAATCATTAAAAAGATTAAAGCTTTCATAATATTTGCATTGAAGTCAAGAGCACTACTGTGAAAGTATGCTCATTGTCCTGGAGACGATACCCAAAGAAAAATCCTGGTCATATGATCTTTGGTAGATACATGCAGCATTTGAAATGAATCCATATGAAACATGATTGATCAGGAAACTCTTGTAAAATTACAATGAAAAATGAAACTCTTGTAAACTCATTTATTCTAGTTGTATTGTGTCACCGACTACAATTATGCAGGTATAGGTAGAGTTGCACTTCTTATATTTTACATTGATGATATATTTTACTGAGTAGTCATTAAGTATAAATATTTTACACACCGAAACATTTCCAGCAAAAGAATAGCATTTTAATTGTCCACTGTTTTGTCTGTAGAGATGCCATTCACTTCCCTCTTTATGCCTTTTTTTTCTTCGCTCTCTCTCCTTAAATACTCAATTGTCATGAAGAAAGAGAGAGAGAGAGAAAGGGCAAAGCACAGAACTGAGAGACATTGATCATCATCATCATCATCATCAATGGATTCATCATTATCATCATCATCAATTGGCATTGAAGATATTGATAATAGGAGACTCTGGAGTCGGCAAAACCAGCATATATCATCCAGAGTGAATTTAATATATTTTACTGAGTAGTCATTAAGTATAAATATAACTAAGTGTATGTTATATAAAAATTTGGAGTAGTCATTTTGTTTCACATTACCGAGCAGCCGAGTTAATCATTTCCACCTCTGTTTGAAGTTCCTGTTTCACATGGAGCCAGAGTGAACAACGGTGAGAGTGGTCAGAGTGATCCACAGAAGCTCTAATGAAGGCAAAAGTTGAGGAAAAAAAAAATTCAAGAAGAAGAACAAAAATGAGAGAATAAAAATGAGGGAAGCATCCATCATATATGAAAGGAAGCATCCATCATGTATGAACCCAGCATATATGAATTGGAAGCATCCATCGACCAACACGATTGACTGTGCATATAAGAGAGGAAAGGAACCCAGCATATATGAATTCAATAACTGTGCATATAAGAGACCCAATTCGGACCCAGCATATAAGAGAGGAAAGGAAAGGAACCCGAAACATAACTGTGCATATAAGAATTGGACCCAGCAGTTAAGAACCCAGCATATATGGATTCAATAACTTTTGAATTTGAATTCAATAACTGTGCATAATTTGAATTCAACCCAGCAGTTAAGAGTGCAGTCTGTGAGCTAAAATGTTGACATGTGCTTCTCTCCAACCTTCTCAAATCAATTTCGCATGTGCTTCTCTCCAGCAGTTAAGAGTGCAGTAGTATTTGTCTGTCCTTCATTCACATTATATTTTCTACAAAATGGTATAGCCAAGCCAAGCTTCACATCTCATCAGAGAGTAGGAATGGGAAGGTAGATAGAGGGTATGGGAAGAAGATAGAGGGTATGGGGGAGACACAGAAATGTGTTGGGCGGGAAACCTTTGATACATTTTGATATAAACCATTGATCTAAACCATTGATGTATACTTGGGATTAATCTCAGCCATTGGATCAAAATGTATCTCACATACATTTTGATACATTTTTCAAAAACCTTTGTGACTTATTATATAGATGGTCTTGTAAATTTATTTTTTCTCTTTCCGTTTCTTTTTCTTGGCCAAAAGTATGTCAAAATTTATCTTATATTTTTATCTATTCGTGAGTTAATTGCATTTGATGTATATGGAAATAGTTTTTTTTAAAAAGCAATATTTTACTTCATAGCCTTACTGCAAAAGATTTAATATTTTAAACATGGAGGATCCAAATTCCCTTTTTATTAGAATGATTTCTAGAGCAGCAGAACAAAAATTCAGCTCATGGAAAAGACGGGAAAATGAAGAAATTTATGATAATGGGTTTTAATTAGGGGAATTATGATATTTGTAATTAAAAGACCTCATTTTATTCTTTCAGCGTGTGTGACTTGCTAATTCCACTTCTTGTTTTAACTTTTTATAGCACTAAGAGGAGCCACTACGCTCAAAGCAAGATTAGGATGCAAAAACAAATTAAATGGAAGCACATCGATACTACAAATCGAGGAGAACAATGATTTTGAATTCGATTTTGAAAACTGTAGATCCATTCTTGCCAAGCGTTCCGAGCTCATATCGAGACATTAGATGGTATGTTAACTTAATTACTGTCATTATTAATAATAACTATGTTGCTCAAGCTATAATTAATTGCATTGGAAATGCCTCACAAGGTCGTATGTTGGAGAAATTCCATTAAAGCTCTTTTTTGAAAATTAAAAATAGGGAATGGGCCTACAGCCCACAGGCATCTGAATTTTTGTCTCAAATCTTCTTCTTCTTCTTTTTATTTTTATTTTTTATTTTATATATACATATATATATTTTTATATGCCCCTAAAATCTTACATCCACTTTGGATTTAGAAGTTATCTGGTCAAGCAAATAAAATAAAAGAAAACTATAGAAAGACAAGCCACTAGACTGTGAGAATAATAGATAGTTAGAGAAAGTGAGACAGACATTGAATCTTGGTGTACGCATAAAATAAAAGAAAGGTAAGGGTTGAGGATAGGATATCACTTTATGATTTTCTAACTAAGACAGTTAAGCAATGTAGCAAATTCTGAGACCATCTCCTCTTTCACACCTATCCCACAAACAACACTTTTATGGAAATTAATCCTTAAACCATAAACCACTTCAAAACACCTCAATATTCTTTTATGGATCATCATGAGGGAGATGGCTGCTATCAATTATTGCTTCTGCTAATGTCTCTACTGTTTGGAGGGACATCCTGAATATGGTTCTGTCTAATTCTAGGTTGCATAGTTTCTATGTAGAGAATGTGGAAATTAGGATTGGGAATGGTTTTTGTAACGCCCCCAAAATTAACCCATTATACATATCATTGACATTCATTATTTAAAGAAGACAATCTATTAAATCATTCATCAGAGTATTACAAAATAAAACATTACATGTATCATCGAATAAAATGCCCTACAGGCTTACATCTTTCCAAGCCAACACTTGGATACAAAAATATGAGTTCTAACTCAATACAAGAAAAGCCCTAGGCTTGAATGTTTACATGTACTAACAACCAAAAACAAACAACTAAAAAAAAATAGACTTCAGTTTTAGGATCTTGTTCTGGATAGATAATTGGAGGGGTGATTCATGCCTTCAAGGTATGTAATGTGTATAAGAGCTGTGAAGTGTGATGAGGACCTAAAATGGGGTCATCTTCGCTCTAGTTCTGTAGTTCCATGTTTCATATAAGCGTAAAGTCGACCAGTACAACAATAAGACCTCATTAAAAGTGTCTATTAAATGATCTTGCAATTGTAAGGTAAAGAGAAAGTTAAAAGTGCATGGCATAGTTACCTCTTATCCCGGACAATGCAAACATCTTGTACACGACCATGTCTAGAGAGCTTCTTTTCCAAATCTCTCTCTGTAGTCAAAAAACTAAAAGCCTGCAACGAATAGGTTTCTCCCAGGTTTCTCTACTCCAGTGCTCCTATTATGAGGTGGTGACCATGGTCTCCTTTTAGGAGACCTACGGTAAGACTGATAGCGTGAAGGGGAAGATTTGCGCCTTGGAGAATCCCTCCTATTGAATGCGGAGGAATAAAAGAATGTATATTTCAGTTACCAAAAACCAAATAGAAGAGAGTGCACATTTTGAAATTCTATCCCACAACCAGAAAAAGAACAAAGGATACCTTATCAACAAAATCAGAAAGAGAGTGGAAGAGAAAGTTTAAGACGAAATAGAATATTTCAATGACACTAAGCATATACATCGATTTCAAGGATAAAAGCATCGTATAAAGTCCCTCAAGCACCATATGTCTTCAATGAATTAGAGATTATTTGGAATTAAATTTCTAAAAGTTAGCTGGAACTTTGTCATAAAAATTCTTAACTTTCCTTGTGTATCCATGGGTCTAAGGAATCAAAAGATTGATAAGAACATAGAAATTCTAATAAATAACAAATTTAAACACCAAACAAGAACTAAAATAAAAAAACAAAATTTTAATATTATCACCTTGGGGATCTTTTGTAATGATTTCTTATATATAGGGACCTTCTGTGATGATTTCTTGTATGTGGGGACCTTGATCAAGATTTGTTACTGTAATCTCTCTTGTATCTAGAAGAAGAATCCCTCGCCTGACAGGTGAAGTTGACTCCAACCTGTCCCTTCTCCTGTCATTTTTGGGTGAGTAACGATTTCTTGATGGCGTAGATACACATTTCAATGAACCACCGTCCACAAGACGGGACCTTTGATGAGACTCTAATGGACAGCCTAAATCCTGCCTATTAGAATGTGGTGAATGGTCATTGGAACAAATTTCTTTCCTCAGAGGAGAATTCTTAGGTGAATTAGAATGTTTCACTCTGAAAAATCTAGAAATCCCCTAGATGTTGATTTGTGATTATGTATCAATTTTAAACAGTATATAACAATCCCAATCAAACAATCAAGACAAAGAGACACAACGATTTTACGTGGGAAAAACCACAATTGGACACCTCCAATTGTGATAAAAAAACCACGGGCAACAATCACAAAACAATCCACTAAGAAGATTTAAAGGAATTACACAGGTATACTCTCAATTACCTAGCGAATCCATGCCTAATTGAACCAACCTCTATGTGCCTCTTCCAACCCGTCTTCACCTCGGAATTGTCTTTACGATGAGCCACTCCGGAATCCACCAAAGCTTCAGGCTCGAATTCTTCAGAATCCACCGAAGAACAACTCTCTCTTTTGTAGAACAAAACACAACCTTTGATGTACTCTCTTTAAACCATGAGTTGAATACTCAATCAAAACATCAAAGAAAAACTCACAAAGTATCCCCAGATATAAACCTTAAGAACCAAAAAGAAGATCTGGAGGACTTGAGGAGTAGTCTAGTTTTGGGAGAAAACCAACTACTTATATAAATCCAAAAAGTAATCCTAGATTTGGAAGAAAACCCAATCCTTATTGAAATTTGGAAAACTGTGTTCGCGTGGTCTGCTCGAGCGCCCAACATCCCGCTCGAGCGTCTTCAGTAAAATCTGCGCGTGATATAACAGAGGTCCGCTCGAGCGCTATAGAACCCGCTCAAGCGCGAAATCACACATCTCAGTACTTTTGCAGGCGACCAAAACTGCTGGAACCAGGGATTCTCCGCTCGAGCGGGGTAATGTCCGCTCGAACGGACAGGCAACTTGGAATGCTTTTTTGCATTTTGCTTCGGGGGTGCTGCCCCTCGACCCCGCCGTGGTGCTGCCCCGGACCCGCCAAGGGCGCTGCCCCCTGGACCCCCGCGAGCTGACTGGGCAACTCGATCCCCGTCATAATCAGCGAAGTGGCAATCTTGAAAGCATTAGCATCACAAACTTCTCTGAAAGGCTTGATTCGGGTTGGATTCGCATCTAACAACTCATAGTCTCACTGAAATAAAAGTGCGAAAATAAATACAACTGAAAGGAGTTTTGTCAAACGGGATTGCTAAGAAATAAAACCTAACACACCCCCTATGATCTAGAAGAATATGACTGATCTTTAAGATCTTGCCCTGAACCAAATTGTCTTTTATCTCTAGGAGACTGGAACATACAAGGAGACCTTTCGGGTGAAACTGTTTCTTATCTTGCTGTTGCTGATGATTCAGGTAGTTCAGCAGTCCTTTTAGTTGGGGAGCTTCTTGAATAGCAAATGTTCTCACTCTTAGTTTCATCACTACTCCTGTGTGTCCTTGGAGACGAAGACAACTTTTCTGCATGAATAGTTGAAACTTTCTCTTCTAATTCTTTGAACACAGATTCAGATTTAGTAGACTCATATAGCAATGTCTCTGAAAGGGTTTCTTTCACTATGTTGTCATGGGAAGGAGAGGTTACGCTATCCTCCATCTCTTCTCCTTGATTACATTCCTCCATTGAATAAGATTCCCATGCACATGTAGAAACTTTAGTTTCATTTTCATTATGTAAACATTCTACATCTACTTGAGAGGGCTTACAAAGATTAGCGCCACGTAATTTCTTAACCTCTAGTTGGTAATGGTTATCATTGGATGGAAAATGCAAACTCTTTTGATCATAGATGATTCTCGTTTTGCTCATAAAAACATCATCATTATAAGTTGTCTGCGCAGGTGAATGTAATTTTTCACAAGGAAATGCAGAAATATCAGTATATTTGGAATCATGAGGGGGAACAATCTTGCCCTTGTTCATTATCTATGTGAAGTTCATTACCTTTTGCTAAGTTTATAACATGGTTAGCTTGGAAAGGCAAGATGAAAACATTGGCTTTCCTGCATAAAATTGGTGTGTTAATGCGTAATGTTGACCTCTCTTGTGTATTTTGTAAATCTAAAACAGAGGCACTAAACCTTATCTTGCTTTGGTACCCCTTTGTGTGGCAAGTTTGGTGGAGTATTTTGGATTGGTGGGGATTGTGTTGGGTTTTACATGGGTCTGTGGAGAGTTTGATGCAATGGTCAGCATCCTTTTCTTGTGAATAATTATGTTAATAACATTTTCTTTGCTTCTATATCTAGTGGTGACCACAACTATCTCATTCTTTTTATTTCAGGAGAGAAATGAGGATGCTAAACATCATGATTCCGAGCCGCCAACTCCACATTCATTTATAAAAATGGGTTCAAGGTTAGTTCAATTATTATCATCACCTGCAATTAAGGGCCAAATAGTGTTCCAATTTGCAATTTCTGGGGACATGTTCTGGTGAGTTTTCTATGTTAGAATCACACTTTAATATTCTTTGCTAAGCATTTCTTTAGTTGAAAACTGTCTGCTCACTGCAGACATTGGCAAACACTAATTGAGGCTTCTATTGGCTCATCAATACATCATTCTAATCAAAATTATTATCATGCTCTGAACAATTTCAAAGAGTCAATTTTATCTTTATGAAACAATTACTGGTATTGGGCATCCAGCTTCACTGTATCACAAACGAGTTATGCCCTTCAAAACAAAACAAAAAAAATGAGAGAAAGATCTAAGGGATAACTCTGATATAACTCTGATTGTGGACATACCTGTCAATGTCCAGTTCATAGTTTTTGCTAGAGTGAAATATCTTATTCAGAAGACACCTCATTTATAATATTTTACCTTTTTAAAATTCTCTTCTGAATGCTTATATAAATTGCTTACTAGAAAAAAGCAATATATTAATGTATTTACTAAAATTCAACTAATGTCGTTAAAAAAACTTACCCCAGTAACTTGTGTTTATTTTAAATTAACATTTATTTTATTTCTGCTCTATTAGGGCTTCCCCTTGGTATGATGTCATGTAACTTAGGGTTGTCGACCCACATTCTCTTTGAACTCCTCCTGCTCCCTGTTGTGCCTTCAATTTGAACTGTCGACCTTCACTTTCTTTGTCTATGGAGTCATTAGCGCTTTTTCTCTTTGCTCCTGGAAATACTAAAGAAATCATTCAACATCTACATTATGTAGGCTTTATGTGGGGCCTTTAATAGTACATTGTTGTCCCATATCAGTTTTAATGGTGTTGCAATGGTTAAAAAATAGATGATTTTTACTGCTCAAGTACCTAACATTCCCAAATTACGTGCAGAGAGTGTAGTAACATGGAACACCCAGATAGAACATTGGCTAGTGTTGCCCAATGCATTGAGCAATTGGGGTAGAATTCTTCATCTGTACAGGAACAAGAGTAATCCTTGAAGCAGTTGCTCCAGCATATTGATACATGCGAAAGTGTTTTCAGTGCTGTTGGATCTCATTCTCAGGCAGTTCCTGTACTCATGTCTCCTCTTCAATCAGGATCACTTGGGGTAAAGATGCAGGCTGCTACTGCTTTCAACTGAATGAGTAGTGCCGGTACTATGGGAGCAACTACAGAAGGGGCTGAAGGCTGGAAACGTTGTTGATAACTTGCTAATAGGAGCTTTAAGAAACCTTTCCAACAGCACTGAGGGATTCTAGTCTGTAATCTCTGTAATCACAGTGACAATATACGTGCATGCGTTGAGAGCGTCGATGTTGTTCCTGCTTTACTATGGCTACTAAAGAATGGTAGCTCAAATGGGAAAGAAATTGCCGTGAAGACATTGAACCATTTGAAGATCTTATTTTGCTCCGATCTCCGATCTCCCAATCGCATTGAAGATTGATATAAGGATATTGAAAAGTATGGCTTTGGAACAGGTCTTGTTTTGACCTCCAACCTTGTAGTTTAGCTTTAAACACAGATTATTTGTTGTTGCTTAGGTTAAATGTAACTTCAATTAGCATACCCTCAGAATCTCTCGTTTTCACAGACTCTACAAACTCTCTCTACCAGCCCTTACTCTTTTTCTTTTCTTTTTTTTCAATTTTGTTACAAGAGTTAGTATTCTAGGTAATGTATAATACATGTGTATATATTATATTTCTACTTTTATAAAAAAAAATTAAATATTCTTGTTCTTATTAAAATTCTGGTCTGAAATGCAGGTGGAGTTGAATGTTGTGTAGTGGCGAGTAAATGAGATTTAATTGGAAGCAAATCATTTTCATAGATTGTTAGTTGCTGCCTTTCTAGTTAGTTCCTCGGCTCAATTTATCCATCAATTCAATCTCAAACCTTTCGACTCTCAAACTCAACAAGGTATGGAAAACTACCCATTTCCTCATTCTCTCTCTTCATCATTCTTCTTTTAATAGGTTTGATAAATCAGTATTTCTCTGGCAAGCACATTTCTAGAATAATATGTAAATGGTCTAAATAAGTGTGTAACAGAAACCCCAATACTTTAATTAGAATAAAACTTAAAATGTAATTCAAAATAGATTATACAAACCCGATTTGGAAATTCAATATTATAAAGTGTTTCTTATCTATATGTAATTTAATTGTTGTTAGTAGACATTGGATTGCAAAAATATTTTCAATCATGGATTTGTATTTAAATATAATGATTTTATTGTTTAATATGGTACTAGTTTGTTTAACCAATCTTAATAATTAATATTTACACATTGTGATATTGATCTTGTAAGTTTGTCTGGCATTACCAATTATAGCAAAATAGTGAGAATCAGTTGATACACTAAAATGCTCAAAGGGCTCTAGATGTCAATGAAACTTGACACACTCAACTAACTAGGCACAAATGACTTGTAGGAAAAGACGGGGCTCGAAACCGATTCTCAATTTTGAATCTAGAGTCTAATTTCTGTTTGTGAAAACTTATCCTTTAATAACTCTTTTTCGAGCTGGTTGACACACTAAAATGGCTAAATGGCGTCGGATGTCAACGAAACTTCACACAATTGAATAACTAGGCATAAATTACTTGTAAGAAAAGACGGGACTCAAAACCGATTCCCGATTTTAAATCTAGAGCCTAATTTCTATTTGTGAAAACTTGTCATTTGGAAACTCTTTTTTCCAAACCGGTTGACTCATTAAAATGCTCAAACGGCATCAGATGTCAACGAAATTTGACACACACGACTAACTAGGCACAAATGATTTGTAGGAGAAGAAGGAACTCGAAACCGATTCTCGGTTTTGAATCTAGAGCCAAATTTCTGTTTATGAAAGCTTGTTCTTTAAAAACTCCTTTTCAAACCGGTTGACTCACTAAAATGGTCAAACGACGTCAGATGTCAACAAAACTTGTTCTTGAGTACGTGATGATATCTGCGAATGTCAATATTCCAGCTTACAATCTTTTTTGTATTTATTAATTTTTTGAAATCAATATCAAACGTTTTACATTTTCTGTAAACTTGAAATTAATTATATTGCAAATGATGTTTTTTTGTGTTTCTTTTTGCAGATGCAACCCTTTTTGAGTGCGTGATGATATCTTTGCATATTAATATTGGAGCTTACTATTGATATTAAAACAAACTGTAATATATATATATATATATTTTATTTGTATTGTCGATACTTTTGTTTTACTTTAGATACAAAAATATATATTCTTGAATATAAAAAATTATTAGTATTGTTGGAGGATGTTTTTATATATTTTTGTAAAGAATATTTTTGGTTTACAATTGTTACAGGGTATATATATATACGTATGAGTTTGTGAATGTGAATGTGAATGTGCGTGGATGTTGTCACGCCCCACTTTTTATTACTCGAAATATTACCAATTTCATTTACTTAATTCCATTTCAGAGATAACATGCGGAAATAAACTCGTATATTCAACTTGTAGAAGTGAATAACATTGCTCTCATTCGTATGCAAGTAAATACAACATGAGTACACTAAATAAATTGCCCTTGGGCTTACATCATTAAAAAGTCAAGAAGAAGGGTATAACCCTTTTACATAAATGGCATTCCGCCAACACAAAAGAGGCCCCGTGGCCAACAAATAAGAAGATCCAAAACCTTGTAGAACATCCTGGCTATCACCTGAAAAAGATTCAACAACGTGGGATGAACATATAGTCCAGTAGGGATCTCAACATGATCTCCAACAATAACAACTTACAGATAGCTATGATCATGAATGGTGTGAACACTTCTTTTTTTAACATTAAACATATAAGAATGTATGATAAATTTGTTAGAATAAGTGTTAGAATAGGAAATAATATTACATATATTTTATTCTTATTTTATTTTATTTTCCTTTGATTGATATAATGGGCTGACCCATAATTTATGCCTGATGGCACTCCAGTAATTACTCATTATTATCAATATAAAAGGGAATGAGGTCTCACTCATTCCCTATCTCTCTCTCTTCTCTAAACTTACATGGTATCAGAGCCATGCCCTAGACATCTTTCATTCTCTGCCCCCATCACCACCAGTTGCCTCCTCTCTCCTTCCTACCATACGACACACCCTTGTAACCGCCCTCCAACCACCTAACAACCTCTTCCTCTTCCCCTCTTCCTCTACCCCCGACAGCCTCCTCTAGCCCTACCCAAGCCTCCCCCGACACCCCCAGCCTTTCCCTTCCCTCAGCAGGCCCCTCTAGCCACTGTCGAGGGCCCCCAGGTAGCCAACCAACCTCCTTACTGGTTTGGTCGAGTTCGGCAGCCCTTCTAGGGTAGCTTGAGTTCATTTCTTCCCTTCTGGGATCTTCTGGTGATGTAAAACAGCAAAAAAACGAAAAAAAAAAACAAAAAAGACAAAAGAAAAAGAAAAGAGGTTTATGCTGAGTTCTTAATTCTTTATGCTTCCATAGTGACCATTGTGCTTGTTCTTCCACTATCATCTTTCGGATTTGTGATTGGCATTGTGTTTGAGAAGTAATTAGTAGAGTCTCCATGATAGATTTGACTAGTGAATCTACTACCTCACAGCTATTCAGGGCGAGAGTTCTGTTATTCCTTCTACTATTACTGATAACCTCAACTCTGGCCTTAAAATCACCATCTCTTTATTCAATAGTCAAAATTGCCTAGCGTGGTCACAGAGTCTGACTATTTTCGTGAAGAGCAAAGGGAAGATGGGATATGTTGATGGGAGGATGCATGCACCCAATACCACAGACCCTCGTTATGATCAGTGGGAGATCACCAATTCTCTGATTATGGGCTGGTTGATACATTCTATGATACCAGAGATTGGAGAGGGCTATTTGTCTATAGATACTGCCCAGGATATTTGGGAGGCCATAGCTACTACTTACTCCAGGAAGGGGAACTTCTCCTAGGCTTTGGAGTTATGTTGCTCCATTGAAAGGTCGGTATAAGGTGAGATGACTATCCTCCAGTATTTTACCTTCCTTAGCAATAGGTTGAAGCTACTCGATCACCTTAAGGATTACAAACCTGTCTATACCACTGATTCTGCTGGTTACCGAAAGTTTATGAAGCAAGAGTGGGTCTTCAAGTTCTTGGAAGGCTTGAATGTGGAGTATGATCTAGTTCGGAGCAAAGTACTTGGTATGGCCGTGCTTCCTTCTCTCTAGGAAGCCTTTGCTTTTGTGCAACCACTGTCCTTTAAATAAACTTTGAATTGACTCCAATTTGTGTCAGCTGCTGTGATTTGGTACCTGCACACAATCTTCCCAAAACTTTTGAAGGTCCATGATTTTTTTAAATGTTACCTTTGCTTTTGATTTTTGTAGTTTTAAAATATGTATGAGGGGAGGAGGGGATACTTTGACTCTTGTTTATTTTTGCATGCAAAATTCAGTATTAGTGATATATGTGTGTATACATATAATATATATATATATATTAACAGGTCCTAAATGCTTGTGTGCGGCGGAAGCAATGGGAGGGTGCATTTTGGGTATTGCAACAGTTAAAGGAACAAGGCCAACGGCCTTCTAGTGTAACATATGGACTTGTCATGGAGGTAATATCTGCTTCTTGATGCTCTGTCATTGTCCTTTCTTGCAATTGCGTGTTTGTTTTTTACAGAATCTATCACTTGGATAACACATTGATGAATGCTAGCTCAACATCTAGTTTCCTTCTTTTTTGATGACTGTTGGTCTTATTGTTTGAAAAGCATGTGGGTTTTAAAGTGAATTTTCTAACTAGGGATACAAGCCTCCTTCCTGCCTTAACATATTAATATCTCCTTTAGGCTTTTTACTTTCCGAAACCCTAACAACCTACAGATGTGTGTGAACACTTCTTTTTTTAACATTAAACATATAAGAATGTATGATAAATTTGTTAGAATAAGTGTTAGAATAGGAAATAATATTACATATATTTTATTCTTATTTTATTTTATTTTCCTTTGATTGATATAATGGGCTGACCCATAATTTATGCCTGATGGCACTCCAGTAATTACTCATTATTATCAATATAAAAGGGAATGAGGTCTCACTCATTCCCTATCTCTCTCTCTTCTCTAAACTTACATGGTATCAGAGCCATGCCCTAGACATCTTTCATTCTCTGCCCCCATCACCACCAGTTGCCTCCTCTCTCCTTCCTACCATACGACACACCCTTGTAACCGCCCTCCAACCACCTAACAACCTCTTCCTCTTCCCCTCTTCCTCTACCCCCGACAGCCTCCTCTAGCCCTACCCAAGCCTCCCCCGACACCCCCAGCCTTTCCCTTCCCTCAGCAGGCCCCTCTAGCCACTGTCGAGGGCCCCCAGGTAGCCAACCAACCTCCTTACTGGTTTGGTCGAGTTCGGCAGCCCTTCTAGGGTAGCTTGAGTTCATTTCTTCCCTTCTGGGATCTTCTGGTGATGTAAAACAGCAAAAAAACGAAAAAAAAAAACAAAAAAGACAAAAGAAAAAGAAAAGAGGTTTATGCTGAGTTCTTAATTCTTTATGCTTCCATAGTGACCATTGTGCTTGTTCTTCCACTATCATCTTTCGGATTTGTGATTGGCATTGTGTTTGAGAAGTAATTAGTAGAGTCTCCATGATAGATTTGACTAGTGAATCTACTACCTCACAGCTATTCAGGGCGAGAGTTCTGTTATTCCTTCTACTATTACTGATAACCTCAACTCTAGCCTTAAAATCACCATCTCTTTATTCAATAGTCAAAATTGCCTAGCGTGGTCACAGAGTCTGACTATTTTCGTGAAGAGCAAAGGGAAGATGGGATATGTTGATGGGAGGATGCATGCACCCAATACCACAGACCCTCGTTATGATCAGTGGGAGATCACCAATTCTCTGATTATGGGCTGGTTGATACATTCTATGATACCAGAGATTGGAGAGGGCTATTTGTCTATGGATACTGCCCAGGATATTTGGGAGGCCATAGCTACTACTTACTCCAGGAAGGGGAACTTCTCCTAGGCTTTGGAGTTATGTTGCTCCATTGAAAGGTCGGTATAAGGTGAGATGACTATCCTCCAGTATTTTACCTTCCTTAGCAATAGGTTGAAGCTACTCGATCACCTTAAGGATTACAAACCTGTCTATACCACTGATTCTGCTGGTTACCGAAAGTTTATGAAGCAAGAGTGGGTCTTCAAGTTCTTGGAAGGCTTGAATGTGGAGTATGATCTAGTTCGGAGCAAAGTACTTGGTATGGCCGTGCTTCCTTCTCTCTAGGAAGCCTTTGCTTTTGTGCAGAATGAGGAGAGTTGCTGCTCTGCTATGCTTCCTTCTGCCACTACTGATCGCTCTGTCTTGGTTTCTGCACCACCTCGAGATAAAGAGCATGCAACTCGTGGTTCTCGTCTTTCCTTTGAGAAGGATATTTTTTTCTGTGACTACCGTCGTAGACCTTGACACACACGAGAGACTTGTTGGAAGCTGTATGGGACTCCTTCTGGTGGCCAAAGAGACTGTCTTAGTACTTGCGGGGGTAGGTCTGGTCAGTCTAGAGGCCGAAGGGCCAATGCTCGGGCATATCTTTCTAATACGGTTGAGCCACCACCTTCATCTCGAGTAGTCTCACCGGATGCTGATGTTTTGGGCTTATCTGCCTCAGAGTTTGAGATCGTTCTTCGCCACTTGCTAGACCGTCGAGCCTTTACTTCTGCCACAAGTGCATCCTCTTCTTCCTTTGCCAATTCAGGTAACTTAGCTTCCTCCACATGTGCATTGCTATCTCATACTACCGTGCCATGGATTATTAATTCTGGTGCTTCAGACCATATGTCTGGTTTTTCTAATTTGTTTTCAGATTATAACCCCTTCTCAGGTCAGGAAAAAGTGTGTATTGCTTATGGTACTATTTCATCTGTGTCAGGAAAAGGTTTAATTCATGTCACTTCTTCCCTTTTTTTATCCTCTGTACTCCACGTTCTCAATTTTAGTGTTAATCTTTTATTTTTGAGTCGTATTACTCGTGATTTGAATTGTAGCGTGACGTTTTTTCCTAATCATTGTCTGTTCAGGACCTTATTGCGAGGAAGAAGATTGACAGTGGTAGTGAGGAACATGGTCTCCACATTCTAGATCAGACAAACAAGCTGGCTCATTCATCTATTTAGTTACCATCCACCAAGGAAGACCTTTGGTTATGGCACCGTTGCTTAGAACATCTCTCCTCTTTACTAGTTAAGCATTTATTTCCTTCGGGTTTTGAGAAAAATAATGTGTCTGCTTTTCAATGTGAGTCATGTCAACTTGAAAAACAACACAGAGTTTCTTTTGCTCATTCTATTAATAAAAGTTCAATTCCATTTTCTTTGATTTATTTTGATGTATGGGGTCCCTCATGTTTTGTGTCTTTAAAAGGTCAAAAATGGTTTGTTACTTTCATAGATGACTGTTCTAAGGCCACTTGGGTATATATCTGATGAAAGATAAAAGTGAAGTGTTTTCTGTGTTTCAAAACTTTCATAAAATGGTTTGCACTCAGTTTGGGACGGTTGTAAAAATTCTGCGTTCTGATAATTGGGAGGGGGGGGAATATATTGACTTTGGTCTTGCCAGTTATTTTGCCACTCATGACATTATTCACCAAACTTCTTGCACTAATCCCCTCAACAAAATGGTGTTGCAGAATGGAAAAATCGCCATCTCCTTGATGCAACCCGTTCTCTATCCTTTGAAATGCGTGTTCCTCGATCCTATTGGGGGAAGCGGTTCTCACTGCCGCTTATTTGATTAATCGTCTTCCTCCCCAAGTCCTTTACAAACAAACACCTCTTCAAGTTTTGTTCGGGTCCACATATTCTAAGTTCTTCATCCCCCTAAGACCTTTGGATGTGTTTGTTTTGTCCATAATCATTTACCCACTCGTGGTAAATTAGATCCTCGGTTTCTTAAGTGTGTTTTCCTGGATTACTCTGCCACCCAAAAGTGCTATAAGTATTATCATCCTCCATCTCGCAAATAGTTTGTCTCCAAGGATGTTATGTTCTTTGAGTCTCAGTCGTACTTTCAGACCTCCCTAATGTCTCAGTCCTCTCCTGTGTCACAGTCATTCCTTTAGGGGGAGCCTTGGTATGAAGAGATTCATGTTCCACTACCTCCAATGGTTGAACAGATAAAGGATGTTGAGCCAACAATTGTTGTGAAAAAGGAAGAAGGCAAAGTTTATGTCAGGGACAAAGATAGATAGAAAGTAACCTGGATGCAAGACCCTACTTCTGATCCTCTACTGCCAACTTCTCCAGATGAGTGTCCACAGTCATCCTCCTCTCTTGAGGGTCCAGGTAATTCTGATCTTAATGTTTCTATTCCTGAGTTTTCAGATCTTGATGTTCCTATTGCTAATAAGAAGGGGGTTAGGTCATGTACTATTTCTACTCATGTCTCATATTCTAATCTGTCTCCCTCGTATAAAGCCTTTCTTTCTAAAATTTCGTCTGTGTGTCTGCCTAATAACTTCCAGGATGCTCTCTCTATTCCTGAGTGGAAACATGCCATGATGGAGGAAATACGAGCTCTTAGCAAGAATGGCACTTGGGAGTTAGTGGAGTTGCCTACAGGCAAAAATTCAGTTGGTTGTAAGTGGGTGTATACTGTAAAACATAAAGCAGACAGTTCCATAAAACGGTACAAAACAAGATTGGTTACTAAGGACTTCACTCAGACTTATGGAGTAGATTATCAGGAGACATTTGAACCGGTTGCTAAGATGAACTCTGTGAGAATTTTGCTCTCCCTTAGCAAATTTGAATTGGCCACTTCATTAGTTTGATGTGAAGAATGTCTTCCTTCATGGAGATCTCAAAGAAGAGGTCTATATGGATATTTCCCCTGGATTCGAAGATGCTAAGTCCAAGGGTGAAGTTAGCAAGCTCCCAAAATCACTTTATGGACTAAAGCAATCTTCTAGGGCTTGGTTTGAAAGGTTTGCTCAAGCTATGTTGAGATATGGGTTCAAGCAGAGTCAAGCTGATCATATCTTATTTGTCAAACACTCCTCACTTGGTAAGACTACAGCCTTAATTGTCTATGTTGATGATATTGTTCTGACAAGGGGATGGTGTCGAAGAAATCCCTCGATTGAAGGAGTACCTAGCCCAGGAGTTTGAAATCAAGAACTTGGGCACTTTGAAGTACTTTCTGAGCATTGAAGTAGCTAGGTCCAAGGATGGTACCTTCATATGCCAAAGGAAGTATGTACCTGACTTGCTAAAGGAAACTGGGATGCTTGGAAGTAGACCATGTGACACACCTCTAGAATCGAGTCAGAAGTTAAGTGAAGTTCAAGTGGACAAGGAGAGATACCACAGATTAGTAAGGAAGCTTATATCTTATCTCAATCGCGCCTAGACATTGCCATTGCAATAAGTATGGTTAGCCTGTTTATGCATGCTCCTAGTGTCACGCCCCACTTTTTATTACTCGAAGTATTACCAATTTCATTTACTTAATTCCATTTCAGAGATAACATGCGGAAATAAACTTGTATATTCAACTTGTAGAAGTGAATAACATTGCTCTCATTCGTATGCAAGTAAATACAACATGAGAACACTAAATAAATTGCCCTTGGGCTTACATCATTAAAAGTCAAGAAGAAGGGTATAACCCTTTTACATAAATGGCATTC